AAAAATTCTCTATCTCTAACTGTTACAAAAACGTTAGAACTTTCACTCTGTTATTCAAATTTGTCATTCTACCAACATCCTACGAAAAATAAGAATTAAAATAGTTTTTTAAAATGGTTCCACAGGGGGACTGGATAAAGCTATCGAATAGGTACCTACATGACGGAGCATTACGGACCATTCAAACATGTCCTTCATATTTGCAGTCTTTTTTTATTAAAAAATTTCATTGTAGCGATATCTTAATCAAAATTTATTAACTTTAAAGGATTTTGAATATACGCACTATTTTATGCATGACAAATGCATCGAAACCTCTTATAGTCAAATTTGCCTTTTAGAGCTTAGTAAATCCACTTTCAAACTATCTTTGAAGTCCTTAAATAACGATTCTATAGAATATTTATTTACGGTTATGATTACACCTATAAAATTATGGTACAAAAAAGTGCAAAAAGAAGTACAAATACTAAAAATAAGTACATTTGCGTACTTCTTTAGGTGTTATGCAGTTAAAAGTACAATTACTAAAAAAAGTGCATCGAAACCTCTTATAGTCGAATTTGCCTTTTAGAGCTTAGTAAATCCACTTTCAAACTATCTTTGAAGTTCTTAAATAACGATTCTATAGAATATTTATTTACGGTTATGATTACACCTATAAAATTATTGTACAAAAAAGTACAAAAAGAAGTACAAATACTAAAAATAAGTACATTTGCGTACTTCTTTAGGTGTTATGCAATTAAAAGTACAATTACTAAAAAAAAAGTACGCATACTGCTGAAAACAGTACGTCTGGCAAGCCTAAGGCAAAGCCACAAAGTTGCACGTAGCTCTGTCCTGTTAATCCAAAATCTCGGATGTTGATGAAAATGAATTTATTTAAATTAGAGTAAAAAGGTGATATGAAGTGATAAAAATAAGTTTAATCAATTGTATGATATTTTGAGAATAAAATTTTTTTTGTCAATATTTTCATCGGTCAATTTAAATGTAATAGATGTATCCGATTGATTAGTATACCTTAACAATTTTAATATTGTCCGTTTTGTTATATATTGTCCCTTGTAAATTAGTCCGGTTCCTAATTAGTTTTAAAAGATGTGGTGCATCATAAAAAGAAAATATTTTCTCATCGGATTTAACTGGACTAGGAAACCATGGTTTTTCTTAAGTGAAGATTTGAAATTAAAGAAATTAAGTGAAGATTGAAAATTAAATTAGTATCAAAAACTAACAATAAGTTGTGTAAGTTACATATCGTCACCTGAAATGCAAAAATGCGTAACAACCAAAGAATTGAAAATCGACTTTTTGATTGAAAACGTTCCACTGCATCAAAATACATGTTATTGCAAATTTTAAGCACCCTATTATCAAAAATAGCGACTTTATTGAAATGAAATTCCAAAGGGCGTAACAACAAATTAGTCAGTTCCACGAATAAGAAAATCCTAAAAAGCGACATAATAGACAATGTCTGGCGGTACAGTTATATTCAAACGTATTTATCGATGTCGGTATACAATACTTGCAAGAAAATGTCGTTTTATTAACAAAACTAGCATTCATTTTATTTAGTTTTTTTTTGCCTCTCCTATAAAATTTTTAAAAGTGTTGTTACTCTTTTTTCCATTTCAGGTGACGATATGTAGAATATAAGTTATGCTTACCTTTGGATACACCTATGTAAATAATTTAACAGTTTTCTATTATACAAGAAAACCAGCGTTACTTAGGACACAAATAATGCTATTAAGGATTTCGACAGTCATTTTGCAATCGTAGTTGTAGATAACTGGTTGCTTTTTTAAGCCATGAACTATAACCCCCTGAACATAATTTGCAGGTTTTCGGATAATGAGTCATACTCGAAGGTTCCTGCTACCTTCATTTCATCGCACTCTATTACACAAATCCTATCTTCAAGGGACATATCGGTAGCTTGGCGCATGAAATTTATTGATGTGGATAAAATGCCTTCAGTTAGGTTTATTTTTCGACACCACCGTTATATAGAAACATTAGGAAGAAGATATCCTCTCTTATAAAGCTGAATGTAGGCTCGTGGCCCAGATTAATGCAAACATATTGCACTAGAAATATCAGCCCACTGGACTCCTCCAGGTTGTTTCAATTTTCTGTAAAAATTTGTCTCATAGCTTCAATAGCTAAATTAGTTTGATTAGTTTTAATTTCAATTCTTTGTTTTCATTTTCTAACTCGCGAATTCTTTAAAATATTTTGTCTTACTGTCTGCAAAATGTACTGGGCTATATGCATGAAAGTAGTTGGAATTTAAAAAATAATGTTCAACACTTTACAAAGTGTGTATTCCCTTACTCTGTTTGTGTTTCCCATTCATTTAAGTATTCCACAATTATAGAAGTTTCTTTCATAGCGGAAGATTTGGGTACAGATAGGTCAATCATTGAGGTATCAATATTGATAATAGAGAGTTGGAGTTCTTTACAAAAAGGGGAGTCAACCTCTGAAACTTGGGGATGTTCTACATCATCAATCACATTTGGAAAGAGTTGATTGGAAATGATGTTCGAAACTTGAGAACATCTTTCATGTTCGAGTGATGCTGTTCTATAGGTAAATAATATCACAAATAACTCTTTAAAAAACATTTCAAATTTAGCGTGTGTGAAGTTAAATTCGAATTTAAAAAGCAGAGACACAAACCACACTTTTTAACATTGCTCATTTTGCAGCTAACGGTGCACTGTTAAGTATTGTCCATATTTGTATAAATTCTACAGAATTTTAAACTTTGCCGGTCCACACTAGGAAACTTTTTTTGGGAAACTTTTGATTTTGCGTGAGAGAGAAAAAGAAAGAATATCATTCATCAAAAGTTGCCTAGTGTGGACCAGGTCAAAGACAGTGGGTTTTGGTCAGCGTTGCCACTAAACAAATTTTAATCCAACAAAATTTTTGTCAAAAAACTACCAAAATCGCTTAAAACCTACCAGCTTTTTAAATAATGAAAATATATATTTTTAGAGAAAAATATGACTTTTTATTAAAAAAGGTATTGGATATAATTGTACATGTATTAATAAGCAACGAAACACAACAATATATAGTATTTAAAATTCAATTCTAATAATATTTTTAAACTAAAAAATATACTAAGTGCCATTTTCTATTTTCAGTAGAACAAAGACAACAAATCATATAATCAATATAACAAAAAAAGTATATAATTCATTTCTATTAACAATTTGAAACTAAATATTTATATTTTCTGTAAAAATTTAACATACAATGTTGCTAATTTCTAATTTGTTTCTTAATTTTGTTTTTATTAAAGGAAGAAACGAAAACTTACGTTCAGCAGCTGCAGAACTACATACAGTGTCTCTCATAAGTATACGAATTTAATGTATTGTGAAAACAGACGTCATTTTATAATAGATTTTGTGAAAAAAAATAAATAAATAAATTTATTTTGTAGTCCAGACAGTCCTTAAATTTTATATCACATTTTAAAAAATGTAAAAAAAATAATTTACTTAAACTAATTTAGCTTTTTTTAAAAAAAGTGCAAAAAATAGCTTCACAAAAGTATTCGAATTTGTTGTATACATCATATTTAGATTAGCATTATGAAGTAAAAATAAATGATTAAAATGAAATTAATATTTTGTATAGTAGCCTTTGTTTTTAAAAACAACTTCCAAGCGACGTGTGACCGTTTCTACCAATTTATGGAATAGTTCTGGCGTTATTATGTCCCATTCTTCATGCAAAGCAACCGTATGGTGGTTTTGGAGGATAATGAGTGATTTTAAAGTTGTTCTTGTAAATATAACCACAAATTTTCAATGGAGTTTAAGTCCAGACATTAACTTCATTGAAAATTTGATGAAAGAAGATACTTAGTGTTGTAAATGATCAACATTTTCACGTACCAGGTCGTGTATTTTGGAACGTTTTTCTGTTGATAATAAATTGAATGGGTTGTAGCCCCATTTTGGTGGTACTAGCATGCAAATTCTGCTCTAAAATTGACAAGTGGGCCTTCTAGTCTATAATTACAATAATAAATTTTAGCAGTCCAACACCGTGGACGGACACAGAACCCCAAAATATGACAGAGCAACTTGGGTCCTTTACAGTTGGATAATTCCAAGGCATCTCAAAGCTTTCGTCATATCATTTGACGACCATCTGAGCCAAAAATATTATATTTGTTCTCATCGTCGAAGATAACCTCCTTCCAGAATCCAATATTCTTACTTATGAGTCTATTTGCGGAGTCAAGACACTTAACATCGATTAACTTCGATATGAGCGGTTTCCACCTTAGTACTTGACCATGCACATTGTTGCCCCCTAGTACTTTGCGCACAATTTCGACACTAATTTTTATTCACAGGACTGTCCTGAGTTCGTTGTTAATTTTTGGAGCTGATAGATGAAGGTTCCTTCGGTATTTCCTCAGTATTTCTATGTCGTCCTGTATTGACAGCAGTTTTGGACGACTTGATAATGGTAAATACTTGATGGAATTCTTTGTTCCATGCGTGGAATGACAAAATATATTGTCGATGGGAATCTATCAAACATTTCCTATATGTATTTAATTGATCGGCCTTGATTATACATATATAAATTTATTTTTTAATTTGAATTGATCAACTATTTTTCTTTTAACATTTTAAGCGCTTACACATGAAAGATTTACAACATAATTATGCAATTTTCCAAAAAATATAATGTTAAATATTCCATATAACCACTACCTGAATAATGGGTTAATTAATGGGCAATAAAACACGTGTTCAAGGATTCTAAAAGAGTTCTTAGAAAAAATTCGAATATTTTTGCGCAGTACCTGAAATGACCCTTTTTGGGTTTTTTCCATTTTTTTGGAAACCATTAATGAGTTTTTATTACTTTTTTCTTGTATTTCGTAAAAATAATAAAATTTAATAAAATTTCATTAACAAATTTTAAGTACTATTATTATTTTTAAAGTAGCATCATAAAATAACACAGTAATTCATAAAAAATAATAAATTCGAATATTTATGTGAGACACTGTATGTGGCAATGAAAGCAAATTAAAAACAAAGTTAGCCAAATTAACATAAGTGCTCTCATTTAAACCATTTTAATTGAATTTATTTGATCCCAAAATAAATCAATATTTAAATCAGTTGAAAGATTGATGTCCGATAATCTTATCAAATTCCACTGAGAAATAATAATATCAGGATCACAATCTATGAGATTCGAAAATTTTAGAACAAGGGACAATATTGGTAAATCTTCTTTAGAGAGTACTTTTGATGAGGTAATTATTTGTAAAAGTTTGATATCTTCACGTTTAAAATCAAATCTGGAATTAATTTGGTTTAATAATTCAATTTAAGTTTTGACTTTATTAGACATACTTTCTGCCAGTTCTGCTGCTCTTATACCATTTACCTCATAAAAACGTGATATAAAATACAATTTTAAACTGTCCCATTGTTCAATAATTCTTGAAATAACACATTCTAAAGATAACCATCTCGTTTGGCAAACACCTAATATTTTATGAGATTTCACAAAACAATATTCTTGAAATTCTTTTAGTTCGTTAATTCTTTTGGGACTATGAGAGAAAAAAGTGTATATATTACGACAAAGAAGCTCAATATTTTTTTGGCAACATTTTACATGCGTAACTAGAGCAGAGGTGGAGTGAGTGACATGTACATTTAATCTAAAACAAGTCAGTTTCATTAGTAAGTAATCTTTTAAGTCCACCAACATCACCAGTTATAACGTTAGCTCCGTCTGTTGCCAACCCGATCAATTTTTTAAAGGAACGTTATGTGCAGAAAAAAAAATCTGTTATAATTTGAAAAATTGAAGTTGCATCTGCCTTAGTGATCTCTAATAAAGCGATAAACCTATCTTGTACAGAACCAACACCGTCGAAGTAACGAGCAACTAAAACAATACATTTCCTCATATATACGTCTGTAGTTTCATCCACAATTAATTAAAACCTTTTACTTTTTAAAATTGACATTTTTTTTCACTTGCCTGTTTAGCAATGTAGTCAGCTAATTGAACAGATTTTGTCCTACCACATTTAATTAGCTTAGATATTGCCGAATCCGGACAACACTCTGTCAATAACAATGGCAAGTAATCCATCAACAAAAATGGTAAGTTATGTGTTAAGGGTAAGTTCAGCATTTCTGACTTGTCGGCTTAGACTTTGTTGATCGTTGTTGTAAAATTTGTATATTGATTTTTCTGGCTTTCATAGTTTTGAAGATGGAAAGTGATTTCTCGTGCGCCTTAAGGTGGCTACAATTGCTCACTATCTGTCTTGAACATGCAATACAATATGCATTACCATTCTTTTCCCGAAGCCAATCGAAAGAATGTAATCATTCTGCCCGAAATTTTCTTTTTATTGATTGATTTTTAGTTTTTTCATTGCTGCAAATAACAAAAACATTTAATAATGTTTTAAATTAATTTATAAACATTTTATTACCTAGTAGAAGCGTCTTCAGTATCATCTGCTTCACTGGGTTTTTGTTTTTTGTTTAAAAATCTGAAAATATTTATTTTTCAATATGAATTTATGTATAAAATATCTTACCTATCCATTTTATATTATTTGAAATATTATTAAGTTATTGTCAGTAAAAATCACACTTATTTAACTTTTACACACGTTTGGCTTTCTTCATTTACTTTTTGTTGCACAAAAGAATTATCAAAAACCGTTATAATTGGTTTGCACATTTTCTTTAATTTGTTGTTTCGTTACCCCGTGTCTATATTAGACAAATATTTATCACGGCACTTGACAAAACGTCGGCAGAAAATTGTCAGTTTTTTGTTTATGTTAATGCATAGGGGTAACAAAATGATGATTTTATCACGACAACTCACAGATAATTTTATTGAAATAATGCTAAATTTTATAAAAACAATTAAAATGAAATGCAAATTTTGTAAATAAAAACTAATTTCACTAAATCTTATGTTAAAAATCTATTTTAATTGCACAAAAACAAAATTCTAAACAAATTTTACAATAAAATGACGTTTGTTATCAAGACAACGTTGTCTAAACAATTGTTTAGAAAACACTGTCATAACGACTTTATAACGCTAATAAATGCCGTCCGTACCTGCTAATTTTTTATCATGATAACAATTTGACGTTTAGCATAATAAATATTTGTCTAATATAGACACGGGGTTAGCGCAGCTTTGACACTGTCAAATTGACAGTTGAATTCACTAAGACCTGGTTCACACTGGTATACTTTTGTTGAGAAACTTTTGATTTTGTGTGTGAGAGAAAGTGATCGTTGATATTTCTTTCTCTCACACACAAAAATCAAAAGTTTCCCAAAAAAAGTTTTCCAGTGTGAACCAGGTCTAAGCAAAAACTCAATTCATGTGGTTTTAGTTGCTGTTGTAAATTTTGTACAACTACACCACCAATTTGAAAAAAAACATTAACAGTGAATCAATTAAGTAATTTGCCTATGTAAAATTTTATAAATTTTAAGAAAAAACTTTATCTGATCAATTATTTTAAGCAAAATTGTTTGTTGTATTTTTTAAAGAATATCTTATATTTGAATTTTCTGCCATAAAAAGTAAAATCGTGATAATAATTAACGAGATTTTTGATAAAATGTGAACGTATTGTTAATTTTTTAGCTCAATAAAGTATTTTGCTATTTTAGGTTTTTTGTTTATTTTTTTAATATTGCTGTATTATTTTATAAAATTTAACATTTTTATTACCCATATATATTAAAATAACAATTTTTAGATATTTTAGTAGTGGTACGACTAAATTTGGACATTTCTTAACTGATTTATTATCCAGTATACCTATAAGAATTTATCAATATTTGACTTAACAGGAAATCTATCGTTTCTTTGATTTTATTTCGAAAATAATAAGTAATTTTGAATTGGATACATGATATACTAGAAAATTAATAGATTTAGACCTAGAAAAAATGTTTAGTGGGGTGTAAAACTATATATTATAACAAACTAATCTGAGTTTTTGGACTTTTTGTATTGATAAACAAAAACTACATTACGGAAACCCCATCTACTTGGGGAGTACTGTGTGAATTTTATTTAGAATTGCATAATATTGATTCTTATTCAATAAAGCTAACAGTACTATCCTAGCCACTCTAAGTATGGGGACATTGCCGTATACCACTATGCAACTATTACATTCTAAAATCTTGATTTTCTACCTCATATTTTGAATGCTTTATTTTATGAATAAAATACAGTAGGCTTATTTGGATCTGGAGTGTTATTCTTGATTTGGGTTCTAAATATATATAAGTGTATGTATTAGCTGAAAAATATTGCTTTTGTGGACCTTAGGTGATGATAGCCACCTCTATTGGTAAATATCTAAATTAGGTATTTTTCTTGTATCACACGACAGTTCACTTTATATTGGTTCCAAGCAACCTAAGATCTATTTGGAGGTCTAAATTTAAACATAGAGTTCTTCATAGTTCGTATATGGACTTTGGAGAAGATAAATGAAGAGTTCAATGGTTTTCCTTGGCTCCCCTTTGGTAGTTAAAAATTTTGAAAGACCACTCAGTGCTTCTTTTCTAATAATTCTTTTGGTCATTTCATCAATTATTCTATTTTACATTTTTTTAATGATATTGATTAAACATCTCATATTTGTATTTCATTGATTTACACTTGTTGTAAAAGCCTAAACAAATTTTTTATATTGGAATTTCCTCATTATTTTCCTTTAAACATTTTTAACGCAAATAATTTCTCAGTTTCACACAATAAGGATATGATTTTTGCAAATTACATTTGAAAAATACTTAACACGTGTCCTTGTAACAATAAAACAATAAATTCCAAAAAGTAATTAAAAAATAATTTGAAAAACCCAACAAAATTACTTGGAATTCTAAAAATGCAAAATACTTAATTGACGTGCAAATTCTGATGAAAAATAACAAAATGCAACAACAAATGCACCAACATTTGTTGTTTAATATTTTTTCACGGTTTTTCCATTTTACACAATCTCTACTTTTAATTGGAAAACAGAAATTTGCTTTTTACTTGTTTTTTCGATTTTTATTTATGAACAAAAAATAAAATTGTCTTAAAAAAGGTATGCAAAAAACTTAGTTGATTCACTGTATGTATTTTTGACTCATTGAACATACCCTTTGTTGACACTTGCTTTGCTTGTTTTTCCTTCGTCTATATGCAAAAAGGTTACAAAGTACTAAAAATTTGTGTTTTGATTTCAGTGGTTTCATTTAATTTGCGTCTTTTATTTAACTTGATAAATGTTTGCAAATACATAATTTTTGATCCAACCTACCAAAAATCAATTTAACCTACTGTACCGTGTGACCATCCTTGGTCAACGAAAAGTTAATTAAATACAACTCTTCAGATCGTTTTGAGGCTGGAAAATACAACACTGGCACAGATGTTAGTGTAAAGTTGCCACATCAGTGATTTACTGAATGTAGTGGTGTATTTTCATGTGTCAGTACTATTTGCATCAACCGATAAAATGAAGTTGGCTGCAGTTGCCCGCGAACATAAAAGGAGCCATTTTCAAAAATGTCGAACTTCCTCCTTTTTCGTTTGGGCGTCGACCGGAGTGGACAGGTGGAGAAATCTCAGCCGAGATAATCCCAAATTATAGAAAACTTAGCGAGGTGTGATCGAAGGATATTGCTTAGTGGAAGAAAAATAAGAAGTTTGTGTACGATTAGTGTCATGTTGGAACTAACATTAAGACACTATCGCACAAAACTCTAAATAGAGACTCCATCGTCCACCGAAGTTCAACTCCGCGGCTTTGGCATAACACCAGCCAACGACAGCTTTGGCATAACACCAGCCAACAACAGCTTGGGCATAACACCAGCCACCCCAAAAGTTTTCCATTTTTTATCTGATATTTTTAATCATCCAATTCGTCCACATCAATAATCAATTCGTCCACATCAATAACCAACTCATCCACATCAATAATCAATTCGTCCACATCAATAACCAATTCGTCCGCATCTATAACAAGTACCCAAGTCATCCACATCTAGAACAATCATCCAAGGCATCCACATCTATAACAGTAATCTGATTCATCCACAACTATAATATCATCCACAACTATAACCATTCAGAAACATATTTTCACATCATCCATAACATCATCCAATAATATGTAACTCATCCATACACCAGCTAGTGACATCTACACACTCAAAAATCAGTAACATCATCACCATACTCATCAATAGATGGCACCATGTAAACACCAACATCAAAAATGTCAGATAAGTAAAAAGTGTAGTAGATATTTGTGCGTCTTATTTAAGATTTTTTTTAATAGTTTTTATCTTGGAAAAAAACTCAATTGTATTTTTTTGTATAACCTATAGTTTTTTTGTCAGTTTTTCTCTTAAAAAAAAAAAAAACCTTTTTTACCACGCATGTTTTGGGCATGCAAAGCCAAACGTGAGTCTGTAGTGGATTTATTGCGACTCTTGGACGAGGGAGGACCTCTTCCTAGGGACGTTTTAATGAAACTACAAGGTAGCTGAGGCATCTAGCAGCTTTTAATTAAGCTAAGCTCGATTTGGAGCTTTTTCGGCCCTTTAAACCCTTCCAAATTTTATTAAATTCCTGACCTACAGATTTTTGAGAACATTTACGAAAAGTTTTTACATCTAACACGTAAATTTTCTCTAAAAATCCATAAAATCTTACAAACATAATTAAAATTTTCCTGATTTACCTTAAAATTTACCGGATTTAACTTAAAATTTACCTGATTTGTCATTACCTGATTTGTCGTAACCTGATTTGTCGTAACCTGATTTTCCACATATATAAATATTTAAGAAATTAATTATTAATAATTAAGAAAATTCCATTATACTAATATTTATCTAAATTTAAACTTGAAAGAACAGAATTTGTTGTCGATTTTTTTTTACACAAATAGTAAAGACAGAATTAAATAGTAAAGACACAAACCAAGATTACTTTCAAGCCTAAAATTAGATAACAATTGTAGTATATTATATTAAAATCCTGAAATATGTCCATTTTGCAAAAATTAAACACTATTAATACTATAATATTATTAACTAACTACTTTTAAGAATATTTAACTATTATAAGCGATCTCATACCACATAAAATGACAGTTTTATCCAATTTTGTAATAGTTCGAACTTAGGGACTAGTTTTTTTGCCAAATGGCTTAAGTCACCAGAATTGTATAATTGTAGAATACATGAAAATAATTGAATATATTGTTGAACTTAATTTGAACCTAAATATGTCTTGCTAAAATCAGGCTAGAAAGGTAGGTATCGAGTGGTGATGCATAAAAGGGGTAGCCTATAGAATTTCAATAGCTACCATGGATTAGGGGAGGGTAAACTAATGGTAGGCAATAACACCTTGTTCTACAGGAAGGAAATGGCAAGTTAATATTTTTGATACACTGGTACAAAAATTTTATATCTAATTGTTTTCACTATTACTCCAACGTACCACCGCCCAAGCCCGACGAGCCTTAGCCGTGCACTAGTGCTTAAGTTGCCAGTGTGGAAGTAATAGGGAAATAACAAAACACGATTTCAAACGGTCTGGCAATCTCCTTTGGTTGCTTGGGGAAATATTAAATTATATTGAACAAATTCTGAAATCTCGGTATGAAACTCGAAATA